CTAGGACACGCTGGAGCGACTACGTCGCTCGGCTGGCCTGGGAACGCCTTGGGGTCCCCCCAGAAGAGCTGGAGGAAGTGTCGAGGTCGAGGGAAGTCTGGGTGTCCCTGCTCAGACTGTTGCCCCCGCGACCCGGCCCCGGATAAGCGGTTGAAGATGGATGGATGGATGGATGGACAAACCCCTAAAATAAATATGAGCTTGGTGATGCCTCATCTGCTGATTGCGGATGCTAAAAATAGATAGTAATGGTAATTTTCTAGAAGTGAGGCCAGATACTGATTAAGGAGCCTCATGCAGAGAAGAAGTCTGAAGTCATTCAGCCTAAAATATTGAAGGTCACAACAGAATGGCTCAGAGACCGGAGAGAGGAGGTGGAGGAGGAGGAAGGCTTCATTCAGACCATACATAACTAGAGAGCATTCTTCATGTTCATGTTCTGACCAGACACAAAGAATAAACCAGGAAAGAGATGTTGATTCAGAATGAGACAGTTAAACATCCTAAATGAACAGTTGAAAGGAAATACAGATGCAGTCTGTAGGACTGAGGCAGAGGAAAAAGGGGAGCAGGTGAGAGGAGACTGAGGGCAGCAGGTGGTCGGTGTAGGGTCATTTTCTTTAATTCTTCAGCACTGCCTCGTAGCTCTGGAACACACACTGGGAAACCTCTGGAGCTCTGCACTTCAGAGAGACCTGCAGAGAAGATGACGGAACATAACTTGATTTAGAACAAGTTAATGAATGAGAAACCACAGGCAGCTCACTTTAAACTTAAACAAGCTATGTTGAAGATGATTGGGTCACCTGTACCATCCCTTAATATAGCACTTGTTTTCTTATGACTGCCACTGGCAGAATAAAATATATAGGATCTTAAACATATCTCTTCATCATAATAATAAAGTCACTCTACTTGAAAGTCTTATATAGGCTAATCTTAATCCAATACAGCAGCTTTGGGAGGCAGTGGAACAAGTGTTATCTTGTTAAATTTCCATCTATTATGCCTGTCAGATAAATGTCTGACAGGCATATTGTGATACATGTGGATGAAATGTATTCATGTGTTCATATTTTATAGAAGTATGCAACATATAATCATGTTTTAAAAGATCATAAGAGATGTGCTAAAACATATAACCTGCCTAAAATATAAACATGCTGCTTAATGCTAAAACTAGAATACGCAGACACACGAAAAGGGAACTGCACTGTTGAGTTCAGCTCAAGGTCTGGTGTGACATGATGTCTTGTGATGGAAAATAGGATGTGTGTACGGGACAACAACAACATGAGTCATTACTAAATATGGTAACAAAAGATGTATCAATGCATGATGTCTGTATTGCCTGATGTGTACCACCCCTGTGTGTGTGTGTGTTAATAAAACGAGCCTGAGTTTGTGGAGAATTCAGAATTCAGCAGTCGATCCTCTGACTGGCCGCTCGATCCTCCCTGTGCACAGGTGAACTCGAGCAACGATTTTTGTCTTTTCTTTATACTTTGTAAAAGTTCTTTTACGTGAGGGTTAAAGGTTGATCAACGAATCCGGGGTGGTAAAACCTTACCACGACATACAGTATCACAATATTGTGATACAGATTACACAATACACAACCTTTTGCTCATTAAAAGCCACATGACCAACTGTTCTGAACAGAACCACCAGCAATGTCCACAAGAACATAGATCATGGAGGAAATGTTGTCATTCTTTTAGCAGCTTCTAGTTTTATTTTACATCAGTGTTTGGTGGACCAGGAGGCAGGAGGAGAAGAAGAATGAGGGAGGAGAAGGAATTGGAGAATGAGAAAAAAAAATGAGGAGGAGGATTTCAAAGAAGTCAAAGAAGAGGGGAGGAGTGCAGGAGGAGAAGTGAGGCAAAGGACAGGAAAACAGAGAAGGAGAGATGAAATGGAATAGTAAAACAAGAGAAACTAGGATAGGTAAAATAGTTAAAAGGGAGGAGAACAAGGAGGTAAAAAAAGAAAGAATGAAGGAAAAGTAGAAGATTTACAAAAAAAATAGTTTACTGACAGTTGATGTAAAACTCACAGCTACATCTGAATGTAGTGCCCCTCATGAGACTAGTGCTATTAGGTGTTATTGATCCAGTGGAAACAAAACTCCAGCCTCAGTATGGCTGTCACACTCAGGATAGAGGAGTAGAGGAAGAAATTAAAGAAAAAGGACCTCCCTGAAGTCAAGTTTAATACAAATATTAAATATCAGTCAATTATGAAACAATAAACATGTTTCCTAATAATTCCAGTTACAAGCCAACTATTAAATATGAAGAAGAGTTCATTGTGAGACTTTGTGTGTGTTGTGTTGAAATGTGGCAGTAAAGTTGGTAAAGCTCTGCCAGTTGTTGCTTCTGTAAATTTAAGGCTGGTGTCAGCAGGGAGCAACAACAAGAGGAAATGTGAAAAGATGTTGCTGTGGCACATGAGCAACCTGTGATTGACAGGATATAACAAAGACAGAGAGGGCAGATATCTGGAAGTCAGAGGTTTGTTGGTTTGAATTCACTGGTTTACATGTGGATACAATATGCATTCTGTATGTAGTGTAATAATGTAAGAGTCTATGTGTGACTAAAGCAGGGGTAACCAACATGGTGTGCTGGGCCAACTGGTAGCCCCCATGGACTACCTAAGTTAGCCCCCAAGTACTACCTAGTCCCTAGTACTAGTACCTAGTTAGCCCCCGAGTACTACTAAAGTCCTAAGCTGGACTACCTAAATCAGCCCCCATGGACTACCTAAGGTGCCTGCAGTATGTACTAAACATAAAACTAGTCAACAGGAGGGTTCAAAATTGTACTGTTACTGTGCTTTTTGAATCAGTTACACTTGCAAGGGCAGTGGTAACAAGAGTGTCTACTACTACATTGTTCAGGAAGTCTATATCAAACAAGTAGCTCTTGTTTACTAAGTGCCCTTGAAGTAGCTCTCAGTTTCAAAAAGGTTGGTGACTCCTGGACTAAAAACATCAATGTATAAGACCAGACCATGCATGTCAAACTTGACTATGACTTGTGAGTATGTTTATAAAATCCTCTGTCAGGATACACTGCACTTTGTATAGAGGATAATTTTATTACAAAAATTAAATAAACATTTTATAAGTTGAATTACCTACTGAGCACAATATAAGAACAACCTAAGTGACTTTAATTAGTTGTTAAATATGCACTCTAAACACAGCAGTCTCAATGGAATTAGTGAGTGAGTGAGTGAGTGAGTGAGTGAGTGAGTGAGTGAGTGAGTGAGTGAGTGAGTGAGTGAGTGAGTGAGTGAGTGAGTGAGTGAGTGAGTGAGTGAGTGAGTGAGTGAGTGAGTGAGTGAGTGAGTGAGTGAGTGAGTGAGTGTGAGTGTGTGTGTGTGTGTGTGTGTGTGTGTGTGTGTGTGTGTGTGTGTGTGTGTGTGTGCGCGCGTGCGCGTGTGTGTGCGCGTGTTGACATTCTGTTTAACTAAAATCCTCTGAATCACCAGGACAAGATGCGGGAAGAGAAAGATAAGCCAATATCTCACAGCATTGCCATGGTGACATGATCACAGATGACCTGCTCCATGCCTCATAGCAAGAAAAAAAAAGCCTCCAATCATTGCATTTAACCAAAACTCTGGCTTTTCTGAATTGTTTCCTGTCAATCTATCAGCACCACCGTTTGGACCAACTCTTATATATTTAAGTTATTTTTGGTTGTTGTCATTTTAGGAAAATAAAAAAATGTGGTCCATTTCCCTTGTTGCTGCCACATTAACATCTATCTTCACACAGACAAAGACCAGCTTAAGAAAAAAAGTAATAATGACACCCGCTTACTAAAATCATGTGGGGGCGCGGCAGAGGTTATCACTCAACTGTAGCACGGAGAGCATGGGAGTGGCAACGCCGGTGCAGCGCCGGACGCAGGTGAGTGCAATTTCAATAATTACACCTCTCCTCCTATTAGTAGGAGTCGAGATCAGAGGGGGAGGACGGACAGAGGAGTGCGCACAGGCAACTGTAGCTACTGAGAAACACTGTTGCTGAAGTACAGCAGGAAGCCCGGCGCACTGTTCATTGATAAATAAAGGACATCCGTTACATAACCGTTAAAGTGTCAGTGTCATGTGTCAAGGGTGAACCACGTGTTACACATAAATTAAATTATAAAGACATTGAACGACCAATCTTGCTAAAATCTATAAATTTAAGCTACGACAGATTAACTCTGGAAAACTACAAACTGATTCAGACTAGTAATGATCCCAGTGTGACTAGTGCAGATCTCTGAATTTTTTCAGCTTCTTCAAATTATACTGACAAAAGGAACAAGTAAATTTAAGTCACTGTTTCTCAAAGTAAGGGGCGAGTCCCCTCTGGGGGAGCAAGGTGGGCACAGCAAGGCAAACACATTTTAAATCAATTTCATTATTTTCTGTATTTGTCCCACTGTGGCTAATTGATTTACAATTGAATATTTTTGTTTAATTAGAATAAACCTTTCTAAAGTAATTCGAGTATTTAAAATGAGGTTTAGTGGAGATTTAAAGCAATCCCTATGAATATGTACATAATCCACAAAAAGATACACTTCAGGAACCATTGGTTTATATTACATTTTCCAGTTTCTGTACCAACAAGAGACTCAGTTCTACAGCCTCACATGTCCAGTAATAGGGAAACCTACAGATTAGTAGTAGGATTTTTATTTTATTTATTTTCTGACTAAAGGGAACGTTTAGTAACATCTGGCGGAATCCCCGGTGAGGGGGGCCTTCAACTCCCACCTCCGGGAGAGCTTTGAACAGGTCCCGAGGGAGGCTGGAGACATTGAGTCTGAGTGGACTATGTTCTCCACTTCCATTGTTGGCGCGGCTGTCCGAAG